CCGTACCGGACCGGGGACCGGCAACGGGATCGCAACCCTCGGTGTTGCTTCCCGCGCCTTGCTAAGCCAGTGAGCGGGAACCGGTCCGTATGTGGGATCCGAACCCTCGGGCGGGAGCGCCGCCGCGCTTCCCAAGCGGCGCACTATCCAGTGCTCCACCGGGCCGGCCCTATCAGGTTTTGTAGAGAATCAAGTTTAGCTTTCTTTTCTCTTCTCTGATCTATTTTTATTTTCCATTTCATTGATTTTTATTCTTCATTATTTCCTTCTTTCTCTGGGTTTATTCTGTTGTTTTCTTAAGTTGGATGCTTCCTTTTTAATTTTTAATCTTTGTATTTTTTCCCCTAATATAAGCACTTTTTTCTAACTACTACTTTCAGCTGCATCCCATGGGTTTGTTAGTTTTTACTTAATATTTGGAAAATTCCAAACATATTCAAAACTAAAGACAATTAAAAAAAAAAAGTAAAGACAGTAGTATAGTGAGCTACCATGTACCTATCACCAAACTTCAACAATGATTAACTCGTGACCAATCTTGTTTCATCTGTTCTCCTAATTACTCCCTGTACCTCTATCTTAAATTGTTTACAGGCACATGCACTTTATTTTTATTTATTTTTTTCTAAAAGATGACCGGTAAGGGGATCATAACCCCTGACTTGGTGTTGTCAGCACCACACTCAGCCAGTGAGCGAACCGGCCATCCCTATATGGGATCCGAACCTGGGGCCTTGGTGTTATCAGCACCTCACTCTCCCGAGTGAGCAACGGGCCAGCCCAGGCACATGCACTTTATTATTTCATCTCCAATATTTCACTGTTCTGATTGCCAAGCTTTTTTTTTTTCTTTTAAAAAGCATAACTGCAAACCATTATGAGACTTAAAACATTTTTTAATTTCTTGTCATCTAATACACTGTTATTGTTCAAATTTCCTAATTATTAAAAAATCTCGTAATTATGTTTTAGCCAGATCAAAGTTAATGTTTGCCTGGTATGTTTTTTTTCATCCTTTAATTTTCTACTTTTTCATGTCCTTATTTCATGTCTTTATGTTTTAGGTATTTCTTTTTTAAGCGTCATATCTATATAGCCGTGTATTTTTTAAATCCACCCTGAAAAATCTTTTTATTTTTGATTAGTCCACTTAATGTTTATTATAATTATTGATATATTTGGACTTGTTTCTCTACCTTGTTATTTGATTTTTCTTTTCTTTTTTTTTTTTTTTTTTTTACTACTTTCTTATTTACTTATTTTTCTGTATCCTTATTCCCCCTACTCTTTTATAAATGTATGCCTTTATTTGCCACCTCCTATGCTTGGTGATCTTTGAATAGGTAATCATTGCTTGATATTAATCTCAGAGTACCCTAGAGGTCTACATTGTGAGTGCTTTTTTCAAAGAATGTTTATTCAGCTTCTGCCAAGAACTCCTGTTGAGAACTGGGCTCTGCCCAAGAGTTTCAGACCCAGTGATTCTACTTCTGTAGGCTCAATGGCAGGGTCCATCTCAATGGCTTTGCTGCTATTGGTATCTGCATGTGGAGTCACTCCACTTCTCTCATGGGCCCACAGCTGCCAATCAGGCAGCTTATATTTTTGGCAAGTGGTGGTGCTGGGGTGATTCTTGGAGACCTTCCCATCTTTTTTTGCACACCCAGTAATACTTGTAATTGTTGTAGATACAGTTTTTTTTGCAATGGCAAAGTTCCTCAAAATAGACAGCTGTTATGCTGGAAGCAGAACTCTAATTTTTGCTATATTTTCCTTACTTTTTGAATTTTTTAGTTTTGTTTTTAGTTTTTAAAATATTTTGTGTAGTATACATACAATTTTGGTTCTTAAATTTTCCCCATTTCCCATGTATTTTACACATTTTTGGATATTCTTTACATACATCATTTTAATTAATTGCCCCATATTGCTGTGAATATCATTCTACATCATTTAGGTATTTATAATATTTTTAAATTATGTTTAATTTACTGTGAATTTTCTTATCATGTACTTTTTCTGTATTTGAGATTAAGTCCTTAGAATAGATTCCCAAATATAAAAGTGTCTGAATATTCTAAAATTATATATCATCTCAAAGTACTATAAGATTATAAGAATTTTGTATAAACAATAAATGTATTTATTGAAATATTATTTGAACTGAATATTGCTAGTACTTATTTGTTCTTAAGCATTAAGTATCTTTTTTTATTGATTATATATATTTTAAGTATCTTTTTAAATATGTTTTTTCAATTTAGAAGATATCAAGATACCTTGAATAATGCTTATTTGATATGAATGCTTGAATTCCATTCTTGATTTTATTAATATACAACTTTAATGGTTCTATTATAAAATAAATGTTTAGCAAGCACCAACTGCCTACTATATTTATTAGATTTTATGTGTTTTGTGAGCCAGCATTTCTCTCACGATCACAATTCTTGAAGACAAAATTAGACACAGAATTAAAATAAAAATTCTCTGTCACTTCTGAATTTTTTCCTCTATGTTACATTATCAACATCGTTATTATTGTAAATATAAGTTATCATATTTACTTGTAATTGTTAATCACGAATTTAATTTTTGCTCATGTGAAACCTTGGAAAACAGTTTAATTCTATTTATATATAAGGTGTCATCATATTTACCACTGCTTCGTTCAGTGCACTGAAGCATTAGTGTGTAAAAACCAATGCTATACTTTTTTATAGGTGGTAATTTTGTTGTTTTTAGATTATTTATAAATATTAATTAAATCTTTTTATTTTAGATTAAACCAAACATCAGAAATTAGGAAATACATAGTTAGTTCCTGGAGTTAATTCGTTATTTCATAAGAATCCTATCTTATTCACAGTCCATGTTCTGTTAAGCATCGTGGTGAATTTATATTTTGTTTTTCAGGTGTTTCATTTTTTACTTTTGGTACCTTAAAGAGTGTTGGGCTTTCCCATGCTCCTACCCTTCTTGGCAGACCTTCATCAGACAACCCTAATGTATTAGTTTTGAAAACTCACATAAACTTACTTTGTGGTGGTGTTGCTGGAGCAATAGCACAGACAATATCGTAAGTTTCTTCATCAACTTAATATAATCAAATTATAGTTATCCAATCCTGATTTTCAGCATTGGTTAGTAATTTTATTTTTTTCTAATAGATTATTCACAAAACAGGATCACTTGCAAAATATTGGTATTAATTTAATACATTTTTTCAGATGTGTCTGCACTTTAAGCATGTCATAAGTAATTATGTGCCAAATTGACCAAATTAATCTGAATCTACTCAATATTCTGTGGATTCTTTAAAAGAAAGAAAGAAAAAAAAAAGAAAGAAACCTTAAATATAAACTTTACCTGTATTTTCTCATGAGTTTGCCTATATGAAATTTCTGATGTTTGAGCCATTTATTGTGTGTGTGTGTGTGTGTGTGTGTGTGTAAGGAGGCATAGCTTCTCCTGCATTAAATCTTGAAGGCCTACTTTGTGCCAGACAGTGTAGTAGACATTGAGAGGTTCACTGAAGGAAAAACAAAGTTGCTGCCTCAACAAGCTTTTCTTCTTAATAAGAGAGTAGGAATACAAGGAGTTAGAGAGATGATATAACGTGTAGTGGGAACATAAATAAAGGTATTACTATATTGTAATTGGATATGTAGCTTCAAAGAATTTCCCTAGACTAAGAGAGATTGAGTAGAATGAGATAAAAAGAGTGTGGAATATTCTTCAAAAGAAACAGGAACTTTTCAGGAACAGGAAGAAAAAAGCGTTCTGTGACTGAGGAGTAAGTAGCCTATAAAACAGAAGACAACAGGAACATAGTGTCACAGTGAATCAAAAAAGAGTATCCAGTGGGAAAGGAAAACCCAAAATAAGTAAGGTGTTCATGAGATTTTACAGTTAGGGATTACCTTGTGAAAATAGATTCAGTGTCTTTGTGAGTGGGAGCAGATTATACTAGGTTGAAGGTAAAGAATAAAGGCTGTGGTTTACTTTTGGAATCTTGGCTGTGGAACCTTGTGCATTTGCGGGGCCATGACCACCTTCTGCTATACTGATTCTCTTCTTGGTTTTATTGCCTCCCTTTCTTCACTACTTACTACCAGTTTAGATCCTTAAAAATCTGTCTTCTCTTCTCTTCCCAATACTCTTTTTTTTTTGGTGACAGGCCAGTACAGGGATTGGGATCCAAACCCTTGACCTTAGGCTGACAAGGCCATGCTGTAGCCAACTGAACTATCCAGCCAGCCCACCCTTCTCTTCTTTTTTTTTTTTTTTTTTTCGTGACCAGTAATGGGATCGCAACCCTTGGTGTCGTGCCCGTACTGCGACCGGCAACGGGATCGCAACCCTCGGTGTCGCGCCCGCACTGCGCTCAACCAGTGAGCGGACTGGTCTCTATGTGGGATCCAAACCCTCGGCGGCGCTCCCGCCACACTCTACCGAGTGCGCCCCCGGGCCGGCCCATAGATCCTTTTTGAAATAGACTACCGAGTTCATGTTCTATGTAATATACTTGGATCAAAAAAAGTTACTAATGTCCTTGGTCAAGGAAAAAAATACACACATGCATGCATGTGTGCACACACACCCCACACTTTGTCTCTGGCTAAAAATTTATTCCCATTGCATCTCTTGCAAGCTTTTGGATGTTTCTACTTGGGTCTTTGGCCATTAGTGCAAACTCCATAATTCAAATATTAACTTCTCATCTTCCTCTTTACAGCAGTCCTCAGCTCCTAACTTTCATATTTGTTATTGATAATCACCAATCCTGATACCCTGAAGTCATTTTTCACATTGTACATATCCAAATAGTCACCGTTGTGTCATTTTAAATTTCAGAACATTGCCTAGAATGCTATTTTCTTTCTTTCCCACTGTCCTTTTCACCCATCTTCTTACAATTCTCTCCCTTCTACTAATCAATTCCTTCTACCCACATACATTTTTCCTGGTTGGAAACTCAGTCTCTCAGATTGAGGTTTTTGGTCTCTTTATTTACCCCTTTAAAATTTTTTTTCTCCCTCCTTAAAAAATAATTTCTGGAGATGCTATTGAAGTGCCTATGGAGCTTCAAATATTGGTAATGTTATTTCTTAAGTTGTTTGGTTGGTACATGGGTGTTTTGGTTTTTTATCATAACTATAAATAGTAAACTTAAATGCATATAAAATATGTAATTATTTTAATTGCATATCACATTTATGAATATTAGATACCAGGGAGAACTTCAAATAGCAAAGTAGAAAACAGCTTTGTGACATTGAAGAATGTCTCTAAGACTCACTTTTTTAATCTTAATGTTGGGATAACGGTACCTACTTCATGCAATTGTTGTGAAGATGAAATGAGATAATGTACATAACTTGTTTAGCATAGGACCTAACACAGGTACTGAATATTAGCAAACTAAAAATAACTTTAAAAAAGTCACTCCTAAAAGAGATACTTTTGCATATTTCATTTCAGGGAATGGTATAGTTTTCTCTGTTCTCAAAATGCAATTATGTGCATCATTAGTTTTAGCCATTAAGGAAATTTTGTATTGGTCTACTGTATTTGAGAAGACTTGCTTGATACTCTCAGAGTAGTAGTTCTCAACTAGGGGTGATTATGCTTCCAGTGGACTTTTGTTAATGTCTGCAGACATTTTTGGTTGTCACAACTGGGGAAATGCAACTGGCATCTAGTAGGCAGAGGCCAGGGATGCACTTAAATATCCTACAATGCACAGGACAGTTCCCCACAGCAAAGAAGGATCCAACTCAATAGTACCAAAGTTGAGAAATCCTTTTTTAGGGTTACAACAATGAAAAACACCCAGTTTGTTTCTTTAGGAAATGACATTTAATTCAGCCTTGAGGAATGAATAGAACTTAATATTGTGGTGCTGGGAGAGAAGAATCCTCTTACTGGAGGGAAACGTGAGCAAAGGCAAGGAAACCCCTATATTATTAATTGATTTTACTTATGTGCTTATATCCTGACTCCCATATTAGGCAAAACAATAAGAGAATAGAAATACATTATTTCCTAATGTATATAGGGCTTTACATTCAATAGTTGTTGAGAACTAAAAATTATTTTTACATCTTTATGCCTTTTTCTTTTCTTAGCTACCCATTTGATGTAACTCGTCGGCGAATGCAATTAGGAACTGTTTTGCCAGAATTTGAAAAGTGCCTGTAAGTTCTCCATATGTCATTGTTCATTTTCTTTGGGAAATGTAATGTTTGAAGTAAGTAGGGAAGTAGGACTCTGGTCTCAACAATAGTTTATATCTTCTGTTTTATCCCATAGTATACTTTGGTAACTTTATGAAGTTTTGATCAGGTTTCAATCCTCTTATTAAAAATTTTATTTTAGAACAGTTCTGTTAAATAGAAATATAACGTGAGCTACACGTGTAATTTACAACTTTCTGGTAGCCACATTTTTAGAAAGTATAAAAAGGAACAGATAAAATTGTTTTAAAATATTTTTTTGTTTAACCTAATATATCTAAAATATCATCACTTCAACATTGCAATATTTTGCATTCTTTTTCTTTTATTATTAACATTTGAAATCTAATGTGTATTTAATACTTGCAGCACATGTTAGATTGAACCACCACGTTTCAAGTGCTCAGTAACCACATGTGGCGAGTGGCTACTGTTACTGCACAGCACAGCTCTGGAGTTTTTTATAATCCATAGAAATTTAGAACCATTCTGTTTGATTGGTAATATATTGCTCCTCAGGAGAAGAGCAGAACATTTGTTTAGGAACTTGGATTGCCTATTTTACCCAAAAGATTTTTTTAAAGATTTCAGTCCAGATTGCATTGAAAGAGAAAGGGAAAACCCAAAATATTGGTTGGAAAGGAAAGAAATAATTCTTTCCTTGAGAAAGAATTTCCTTGTGTGTTTGAGAAACAATGAGAAAGACTTCTTTGCTGAAATCTGAAAGATAGTCCTTCAAGCTTTAGTTCTACAACCACCTAATGGTAATGGTATAGAAATTGAGCTGTAATGAAAACATAAAGGGCAACTATTCATACATCCTTTAGGATTGCATCAATATTTCAAAAATTATTATGAAATAATGTCAGTAAATGTCATGGACATAGTACAAACAAAATACGTTGTACTAATGAGCTCCAGAAATTTTTTTTTTTTTGGCAGCTGGCTAGTATGGGGATCTGAACCCGTGAACTTGGTGTTATAAGGCTGTGCTGTAACCAACTGAGCTAATTGGCCCAGCCCCTAACCCCAAAATTCTATGCATAATACTTGTACTTGTTTGGAATGACTTGCTGTTTTATTGTGAATTTTTAGTTTGTTATAACACTTCCCTTCCAAAAATAAAATACTTGCCTTCCAAAAATAAAACACTTGCCTTCCAAAAATATTCAAGATGACATTTTAGCTTGTTTTTAAAATGCTATTATGGATCCTGAAATTATCTCTTCCTGAGTGGGCATAGAGATGTCATCATTTAACCATTGTCTTTCAGTACCATGCGGGATACTATGAAGTATGTCTATGGACACCATGGAATTCGAAAAGGATTATATCGTGGTTTGTCTCTTAATTACATTCGCTGCATTCCCTCTCAAGCAGTGGCTTTTACAACATATGAACTTATGAAGCAGTTTTTTCACCTCAACTAAAGAAAAAACCATGGTTTCTTTTCCTTAATAAACTCTCAGAGAGAGAAATAAAATGTTACTTTAATTGTGGGAGGATCATTACTTGAAGAGGGGTATTTACCCTGTCACAGGAACCACTGGTATTTTAGTACTTGATTTTTAGTACTTGTTTTGTTTTAGTTACAAATCAAATCAAAAGCGCTTACCATACTTTTTGATGCCAAACATTATTCCTTAGAACATTAAAAAAAATTTTTAAGCTGGTGCTGGCTAATCATTTAGGTTATTTGAAACCATTTAAAAGCGTTATTTGGAAGTAGAACTAACTTCAAAATGGGGTTCAGGAGGTTGCCATTAGCTTTATCATGCTATTCCAAGCTTTCAATTGTAATCATGGTTTTTAAAAGACCCTAACATTGTTTCTTATTATTAAAATAATCAGGCTTGGTTATACTGCAGCAGAATAATGAGAATTGAGTTTTTAAATTCTGTAAAACATAGGAATATTATTCTTATTATCTCTCTTCTTATGATTCTGCTCCACTGGATAAAAGGGTACTTTTTCCTTCAGTTTTTTATAAAATGAAATGTTGTATTTAAAAAGTAGCCATGCAGAGATTCAAAAGTAAATGAAGTATTAGGTTTTGCTCAAATGTTATTATCAGGTACTGCGAGTAATTTACATGTGTTTTAAAAAGTCAATGTATTTCCCAAAGGCAGTAATAATAATTACTGAATATCTTTGCTCTCAAAAACAGAGTAGCAGTGTAGATTTGTTTTTGTTAGATGATTTGGTGTATACTAGAAAATTTATTTAAGTGGACTGTGAAGTATCCATTAATGTAGATGTGAATATCAAGGAATGTTTCTAAGGTATTATGTCATGGTACATCAACTAGTTCTTCCATGTAAAGTAATTTTAGTGCAATATAAGCAATATAAACTTAAGTAGAAATATAAAATATGATTTGAATTGTTATTCTTTATATTAAGAAAATGGTTTAAAATGTAAGAATTTCATTTATTGTGTTTAGAACATTTTTATGTTTTATTGTAAGTATGACAAATGGGAGAGGAACAGTTAAAGTTCTGTTTTCAGAAAAAGTGATTTGTAGAATTGATGTATTTTAAAAACGTTAGAAAACTCAGTTGAAAGTATTATTTTTTGCTTCACTTTTAATTTTGTTGCATAAAAGACTTCTTGTCCTACCTTGGTAAAAATTTGATGAA